CCTCCACCCCCCAAAAAAATGATTACCCGCCTCTGACCTAGCTGATCTAATAGGTAGTTTCCATTTCTGATTCCAATTCATCTGCAGATTACCCTGGGTGGTATTAATTTTTTTCTTCCCCTCTTTTCTCTCATCTGTTCACAAAGGGTATGGATCAGAGCCATTAGCAATGGCATGTAGTTGCAGATGTCTGGGTCAGGCTAGGGATGTAAGCAACTAGTTGTCTAGTGATTCGCTTAGTTGCTTCCCCCCCTTTATCAGTGAGAGGCAGTAGGTGGGGGAGAGGGAGGGTAGGGAGAGCAGGAGCTGGGGCTGGAGAAGCTGGTTCCCTCCCAGCACCATCTCCATGGGGGAAGGGGAGGCAGATGTATAACGGGGACCGGGCGCAAACTGGGAATCAGCTCCCCTGGCTCGTGACTGGTCCTCCCTGCTGCGTTCGTGCTTTTTAAATGTATCAAGAGACGGCTCCTAATACATTTAAAAGGCAGAGCGGCAGCGGGGTTAGCTCCTGGCCCCAGGAGCTAACCCCGCTGCAGCTCTGCCTTCGACTAGCCGATGGAAATTCCATTGTCTTGTCGATTTAGTAGATTAAATTCAATTTAACACACCTTATTCAGGCCATGGTTCTGGTTCTGAAATGCATGGTGTGGTGGTGAGTCAGGTACTCACCGATTCTGCACCCCCGTCTGCAGCAAGATGAGACTCCGCCAGCCAGTAGAATAGAGAGGGTTTATTGCATCTCCAGGATACAGCATAGCACAGACGTGATGTGGTTACAGGAGTCAGAGCCAAGCAGCCTTAGACCCCTTGGAGTAGAGGTCCACAGGCCTCTGAACCCTCAGTACTCAGCTTAGTCTCTTCTCTTCATGTTTTCCCAGCCAAGACTGCCCCTTCTCCAAGCCACACACTTCCTTTGTTCAGACCCATTCCCTGGACAGGTAAGAACCAGTTGGGCCATGGTCTACATGACCTGAGGGCCCTCACGGTGACCCCCTGCTGGGCAGTGCTTACAGATGCAGGACAGTAGGGGTCGCCCACAGCCCAAGCATAGCGACCAATGAATGCCCGAATGGACAGCACTCCCCACTACATCACACATGATTCCATCATGGTAATGATATTGCTCTTCCTCCTCCCCAGGAAAGCATCTGGAACTTAGTCTTCCTTTTCCGGTCACAGAGATTCTCTTCTATACTTATGTCTTCCCATTCTTAACTTGCAGTGATGCCAAATTGTTTGAGCACTAGCCAGCAAATTACACAAAATCCAGCAGCAAATGTTCTGACTGGTGCAAAAGAAGTTCCCATCAGGTATCCCCCATTTCTACCTACCCTTTTAAAAACACCAAACCAAAATACCTAATCTCCAATCACCTGTAGGGTTGCCAGGTGTCCGGTATTGACCCGGATAGTCTGGTATTTTCGCCTCCTGTCTGGTTAAAAAAAAAAAAAAATTCAGAAAATACCAGACACCTAAAGTGTCTGGTATTTTCTGTTTTTTTTTCCCTGCCCAGAGGCGAAAATACTGGATACCTGGCAACCCTACACACACTCAGCAACTGGGCCCAGCTCCCAGACTCCCTGCTTACCTGGTTTCGCAGGGAAGCTGCTTTCTGGCTCGACCAAGAAAACAAAATGGCTGCGGGCAAAAAGCCTAAAGACCCCAAGCAAAGGGAAGCAATGCCTTCCCTGGGTCTTAGTGCTTAACCTCTCCCTATCCGTATTTTGACTCTGTACGCACTTAAAGGGGCCATGCTGTTTTAATGCTGTTTTATTTTTTTTTAATTTCTTTATTTATTGCTTAATAACTCTCGCGGTCCTTTTTTTTTATCTCAACAACTTTGGTCTCCCCCTTTTTTTCCCCTCAACAGTTTTTTTGGGGGAGGGGTTTGGTATTTTTGGATAAACCATCTGGCAACCCTAGCCACGCATAACCCTCTCTCCCCAGCAGCCTACACTCCCCCATCCCTTAGATAAAATTAATTACAGGTTGAACTTCTCTGTTCTAGGACTCTCTGGTCCGGCAACATCTGTGGTCTGTTGCTGGACCAGAGAGCCAGTGGCAGGGAGGGCAGCCAGGAGTCCAGCTCCCCTGCTACCCTGGGGACAGTGAAGCCCTGCAGAGCCATCTGGAACCTAGGGGCAGCGGAGCCTGGCTGGCCGCAGAATGCAGCGGCTCTGGGGCTGGCGGCAGAGTAATACAGGGCTCCTTGAAAAGAGGGTCATATTAATTTATGGGCTCCCTATGTATAGGGAGCCCATATAGCTGCTCCCTGCAACTCTTAATACGTGAGCTGTTAAGAAGGGGATATTAACACGATTGTTTCCTCCTTCCCTCATCAAGCTCAGTAGTCTGTTACAAAGGGGAACTGATTAGGATCCTGCTCAGTTTCTCTCTGCAGTCAGCTCTGTGTATTAGAGACTTCGACTCAAAAAGGAATCTGAGCATTTCTAACAGCTCACCCATTACTAGTTCCTCAGACTCAGCAGTTGCCAAAAAAAGACAGGGCCTGAGGAAGAGACTGCTGCCAAAGATGGGTAGAGCTGCCTTTGTCTGCAGTTCTGTTTTCAGTGGATTGCACCTTCAGATGGAGGGCTGCCCTTACCAATTCAGGTGCCTTAAGCAGCCAGAGCACCTGCACCGGTCTGCACAGGAGCAGGTGGGGGGAGATGGTAGCTCCTGGGGAGTGTGGAGGTTGTGCTCAAGGGTTCCAGAGCTGCAAGGGAGCAGAAACAGGGCAGGGGGGCTGACCTGACAAGGGAGCAGTTGGGAGATGCGAGTGGTGTGAGCTGGAGGAAGGAGCAGGGGGTGATCATGCAGCCAGTGGAGACAAGTGGCAATTTCCTCTTAAGGCAATGAGCAACGAGAGTAGGGATGTAAAATCCTGTTTAATTAGTTAAGTTCAACCGTTAAGTTTAACTGCTTAATCGATTAAACGGGTGTGAGCAGGGGCCCTGTTGCACTGGCTGGGCTGGAGTGCCCCCTGCCTACAGGAGGAACAGCTCTCTGCCTGTGGCAGGTAGGGGTGGCTGCTCCAGTCCCCACCAGTTAATGGGTGAGTCTTACTGGTTAACCATTAACATCCCCAAGTGGGAGCACAGCCCGCGAGGGCAGGGGGCCAACTGGGGTATGGGGCTGGTCTCTGCAGCCATTGCCACTGCATAGGTAGCACGCAGCTGCCCAGGGAACTGATTTGGGACAGTTTAGTGCTCCAAATTTTGTGGTGCTCTATATAGCTGCATACTTGCATATTGATAGGGATGGCCCTGTTCAGATGTAAGCAATCTGTGCCCTGTGTAGGAAATCAAGAAGGAGGATCTACCATGAGAAACCTGCTCTCTCTCTCATGGAGATATTGGCCCTTTCTCTTTTTTAAATTCTGCGAAAATAAAAGTAATATAGCTGGAAAGTCCACATTTTGCTCTTTGTGGGCCTGAGGCTACTGCCAATGTTTTTCCATGGACTACTTTTGAAATTGGAACAGGTTCTGGACGTAGGAAAACGTAAGTCTGTACAGCTAGTATTTTTGTTGAAAGGATAGTTGAAGAGATTGATGGTAAAGTACCATATTGCTTCTTTCAATCTGTAATTTCTTTGAGTTAGTGAGTCCTTTGGGCTTTTGATCACTTCAGTAAAGTCACTGGGCCCCACTCACCTCTCCTTTATGCTGATATATCTCTATCAACTTCAAAATAATTTCTTCCTTATAGTGGTGTAAGAGGAAAATCTGGCCTGTTGCTATAGGTGTCATTGCACCTTGACTGCCTAAATGTCAGTTTGGCGTGGTCATTCTTTCATGCTGTTAATGCACTAGCTTCTTCCGAGTCATTAGCTCCTGACCTCAGGAATAGAACTATGCAAAATTATTCTCTGTGAAAACAGACACCACTCAAAACTAGCCTGATTTCATGTTTTATTATAGAATCAAACGACAGGCCATGTTGGTAGAAATATTGGGGAGGGGTTTACAAACATTTTAATTTGGGAAGCTTGCATGATCTTGAAGGAGATAGGATATAGAAACTTGGTGGTGCCAACAGAATTTGGCATAGAGATTGTTGAGTTAATTTGAACTCTAAATTTTACACTCAGGGTGGGTGAGAGCAGGGAGGGTTCATGAACCTACATTGATCAAAACAAGATAAAATGTGTGACTGAACCTTCCCTTAGCATGCATTCAGAGACTCTCTAATCAGGCAGAATCTCATTCTTTCTCTTCTTGTTAAACTGAACTAATTTATTTTAAGTGATCATAAAATAAGTAATGGTTGGTTATATGTTGAGTGTACACTGAGTATTCAAGCTTCTGTGCATACATAAATGACCATAAAAATATGGTATAGAGGCTGCAGTAGGTATTAAATGAACAATACTGGTACTCAGGCAGCATCTTGACAACTATTTCGGAGACCAGATCTTGCAAATGCTTACTGAAGGCATAGTGCCTATTCTCATTAGTAGCGCCTGCCCGCTAACTGGTAAGTAAGATTGTTCTAGCTGGCAATTGTTCACTGGATCAGACTCTTAGGATGTGTCTACACTTACACATGATCGACAAAACTTTTGTCCTTTATGGGCGCTATCCGCCCTTCCCCTATGAACCACAAAGTTTGGGTGCAGCAAGTGAAAGTATGAACACTGCTTTGTCAGCAGGAGCCCTCTGATGTTGACAAATTGAAACCTCTTTGTTGGAGGTGGAAATATTTTGTCAACAAAAGTGATTACAAACAGCGTTCACACATGCTGACTTGTAGTGACAAGACTATGTTGACACAGCTTTGTCACTAAAAACTGCGTGGTGTAGATATACCCTTTGGAACTAATGAATCACTAACCTTTCCATTCAAAATTAACTTAATGCTGCTAATACATGGACAGATTAATGGCATTCTTAAACAGTAGTCAATGAAATGCTGATTTCATTCCAGCCAAATGTTTGCTTTGAGTTAATTTGCAAATGTTCATTAAACGTTTAAAAAAATTCTGTTTGTTTGCTTTAGGATCCTGCAGGTATCTTTGAACTGGTGGAACTTGTTGGCAATGGAACATATGGACAAGTCTATAAGGTAAGATCTCTGACTGTGTCTGAAGTGATTGATTTCCTTATACTGTACATGAGTTTACATATTAGAATGATCTGTACTTGTGTACGTTCACTAGACCAGTTTAAGAGCTGATCAGAAACTAGAAACCTTCTTTATGAATTTCAGTGTTTTCAATAACTGTATTGGTGAACACAGAGAATTTTACATCCATTACAATGAAGTTCCTAATTCTGAAATTATTCTTGGAAACTGTTTTTTAATTATTAGTATTACATTTCTTTTATTTTCAGCCTTTCCTGAATGTCTTCAGCCAACAGCAATCTAGATGGTGCAGTAGTTATGTCTAGAGAGCTGAATTCAGAAGTAGACAGGTTGATAAATGAAATTAGTTTGGTGTTAATCTAGTCTTCCATTCACATTGCAGAACCAGTGTACTGCCTCATTCTGCCAATCTCTGCTTAGCAAAGGGCCACTGCAAGAAAGTCTGGAAGCTTGCTTTAATATTGGAAATGGTTCTCATTCAAAACCCTATAAACTTTTGCTATTTCCTTGGAATCTGTATTCAGTTCCTGGAGAGCTGTGGTTCTCAACTGGTGGTCCATGGTGACTTTTTCGGTGGTCCACAGGAACATTGTCCAAAGTCACATGGTGTGAGCAGGCGCCGCCATTAGGCTGTTTTATGCCGTGTTCACAAGCACGCGGCGCATCATCCATAGTGTTACCTGGGACGCAACCGTGTTGTGTTGCCAGTAACTTCCATCTGAGGCTCTGAGAGTCACTGTAGCTACTGCCGTTGTGCTGAGCGGTTGCTCTCTCGTTCGTCCTGTGCTACATGTGCTGTTTTACAGGTGTGATGTAGTTTGTTTATAATGGCAATGACAGGAAGAAATGTCAAGCGCAAGTATTCAGAGGACTACATCAAATTCAGCTTCACTTTTCAAGAAAAAGAAGGTGTGGATTTGCCACAATACGTTATTTGTTTCAAAGTCTTGGGGAATGACTCAATGAAGCCGAAACTCCATCTCAAAAAGTGTCACCCCAACTTGTTGCAAAAGGATAAAGATTATTTTGAGCGGTAGTTATCAGGTCTGAAACAGCAGCGCCTCGACACAACAAGTGCATTCTACAATAAGACAAGCAATGCAGTGTGCGCTTCCTACATTGTTGCATATAAAGCTGCACAGGCCAAGAAGCCTCATACCATTGTAGAGCAACTTGTGCTCCCCTGTGCAAAAGAGATGGTGTGGCTTGTTCTTGGCAAGGAAGCTGAATGATATATCTGTCTCTAACGACACAGTATCGAGACAGATAAATATGATATCACAGAACATCAGTGAACAAGTTGTGGATGAAATAAAGAAGTCTCCGTTGTTTGCCATACAATTGGATGAATCGATCGACATCGCATTGTACGCTCAGCTATTGGCGTTCGCACGATACATGGTTGAGGGAGATTTCAAAGACGAGTTTCTTTTTTTGTAAGACTCTTGATACCACCACAAAGGCTCAGGATGTGATGGAAATTGTTAACAATTTCTTTAAAGTATATGGTCTGGATTGGGTAAATCTTGTGGGTGTCACCACTGATGGTTGCACCTGCCATGCTGGGCTTAAGATCGGGCTTCCAAAGGCTGGTGAAACAGTACGCTCCAATGGTAACCGGAATTCATTGCTTCATTCATAGAGAAGCTTTGGCATCAAAAACATTGCCTGATCAACTGAACGCTGTTTTCAAAGGGTTGGTGAAAGTGGTGAATCACGTCAAATCATCAGCTCTGAACACTATGCTGTTCAAAAGATTTTGCCTGGACATGGGTTCCAACTTTGATGTGTTGCTGCTCTCTACTTCTGTATGGTGGTTGTCAGTAGGGAATGTACTCAACAGAGTTTTTCAGTTGAGAGAGGAGTTGGATTTATTTCTCCAGGCTCAAGGGCAAGAGGAATTCTGAAATGTGCTGATGCAGTCAAATTTAGAACTTGCATATCTTGTTGATATTTTTGGAATCTTGAACAAACTGAATCTTCAGCTGCAAGGGAAAGGTGCAAATCTGTTCTCTCACCAAAGCATCATAAAGGCTTTTCTTGACAAGTTGGAACTCTGGATCGTAAGAGTCGAAGGCAATAATTTGGTTCAATTTCAATATGTGGATGCAATGCTCGGGGGAAAAAGAAGCCATTCGGATGCAAATTCTCAATCGGGCTTCCAAAGGCTGGTGAAACAGTACGCTCCAATGGTAACCGGGCAACGATACTTTTCTGGAGGTGGACAGGACAAGGGATGGATTATCTTTCATCAGGAATCCATTTATAACAGATGTTAATAGTGTTCCAGAGGATCTGCAGGAGGAATGCTTGGATCTGAAAAATAATTTTGCGGCTCAAGACGTGTACCAGCAGTCTACCATAGAGAAATTTTGGGCCAGCATGACCGGGAGTTACCCGAATCTGTCAGCACACGCAGTCAGATTTCTTTTGCCATTTGCATCAACTTATATGTGTGAGACTGGATTTTCGTGTTTGTTGCACGTTAAGTCCACAGAGGAATCAGTTTGCAGTGGAAAGCGATATTTGTTGTGCGTTACCAAGTACACTCCAAACATTGAAAAGCTTGTCAGTGAGAAGAGAATCCAAAAATCTGTTAGTACGAAATAAATTTCAAACCAAAATGTTCGTTGTCTGCTCTTTTTTACCATGTCTCAAAAAGGAGGTGGTCCACGAAAATTTTTTGATTGGCCTGGTGGTCCATGGACTGAAATGAGTTGAGAACCACTGCAGTAAATGCTCATTATAGAAATTATATCAGTCAAATCCCCAGAATTCAGTATTTGGATCTCAGCTTGTTTGTGTGTTGTTTTTTTAAGCTTGGTCTCAAATATATTTACTGCATAGTATAACAATGAAGAGTTAAAAGGTACTGAAAGCTGTTTTCAAATTCTACTCGCGACTATGCTAACAATTCTGGTTCTACCCTATGATAATTGTCCCTCTGGATCAACTTATTAAAGGGCCTCTAAGTGTACATACCTGATTTATACACAATCTATATTTTCACATGCAGCTTGGATAATTGTGAACAAAATTAGTGAATCTGTATGTACAAATTCCTTTTGATTGTGCAAATATATATTTTTTTGCACACTCCCAATCAATCACTTGGAAAACATGGTACTTATTGTCATGCACTACCATACACCAGGCTTCCCCCAAATCAAGAGAGAAAGGGAGGAAAAGTTTAAAAAGCTGTCAGGAAATACTTGTTCTGAATTCTGGCTTCCACATCATCTCATTGCTGTGTGCTAATTCCTTTAGTCTGATGGTAGAATTTCAATGAACCAAATATGAACTGAAACTTTTGGAGTTAAAAATGTGTAAATTTCTAAGCTGAAATAAATACAAACCTTACCAAGGCTATATTCTGGTGACTCTTCCTCTTTGGTACTTTTTTTAATGGTAATACATTAAGTTGATGATGATATGCTGTTTTTATTTCCATTGTTCTTCCTGAATCATCAAGGCCAAGAGCATTAGTTTGATGTTGAAACTGTTTTTCTCAGCTGGTAAAATAAGTGTAGCGTTTGACCTAATTTTAACATGCATATTTCTAACAATCAGTGGAAAATATGTGACTATAACATCCTTTTAAAAGCTTAATGCTTCAATGGAAAAGCAGAGAAACTACACATACTTTACACTCATCTGTATACAGTTCCGTTATGTTTCCTGTCAAAATATTTGGTTTTTTTAAAAGAGTCCAGTTATCTGAAGCAGAAAACTTGAACATTATTCACAGTTTTCTGGGAAGTAAGAACATTTCAGTGTGTAGCCCTTTTTCACTTCTGCACAAAACATTTCACGTGGTTTGTTGCCAAACAAAGTGATGGTTTTTTAAGAGAATATTATACTAATTCTAAAACTACAAGCCTAAATACCCATGTGCTAGAGAGAAATTGGCATCCATTTATGAACTCTGTGGCTTGATCATCCATTTAGTTTAGAATAATGCTTTCTTTTGGCTTTGGGTTCAAACATTTAAAGGAAAAACAAGACCACTGTGATCTACTCTGCCCTTCTGTATCACACAGGCCATAGAACTCCTGCAAAATTGTTCTTTTGAACTAGAGCATAAATATATATATATATTTAAAGCTCAAGACTATTTTTCTTAAATTGCCAGTAATGGAGAGTCCACCACAATCCTTGGAAAATTCTCCTAACAGTGAATTACACTTGAGCCTCAAAACAACATTTAAGTGATGTGAACCAGTGTAACTGCTAATATGAAGCATAATTGTTCATGGTGTCATTCTAAACCATTGGGAAAAAATAAGACCTTGATGGTTCTTCCATCAAAATTTCCCTGGCAAAATGCTATATGGGTTTGGGTTTTTTTTGCAGCCTGACAAATAAAAACAGATCATTCAAAGATCTCCAAAGATATTTTGATCTTTTTGCTCCCTCTAAATTATTTTCTGGAGATGCAACTATGAAAGAATAATTTGCCCAATTTGGTGTAATGAATAGCAGAACCCATGTAATCACTCTCAAGGTAATCTTCTTTTAAAAAAAGAATCACATGCTAGGGTCCAAAAGGAATTATTTTTGGAAAGTTCTGTTATGCAAGAGGCTGTGCACAGCTTGACCTGCTGCTCACAAACAGGGAGGAGCTAATAGGGGAAGTAGAGGTGGGTGACAACCTGGGATCTCAGTGATCATGAGATGGTAGATTTTAGGATCCTGACCAAAGGAAGAAAAGAGAGTAGTAAAATACACACCTTGGACTTCAGAAAAGCAGACTTTGACTCCCTCAGAGACCTGATGGGCAGAATCCCCTGGGATACTAACATGAAGGGGAAAGGATCCCGGGACAGCTGGCAATATTTTAAAGAAGCCTTATTGAAGGCACAGAAAGAAACCATTTCAATGCGTAGCAAGAGAAGCAAATATGATAGGAGACTGGATTGGCTTACCAGGGAAATCCTTGGTGAACTTAACCACAAAAAGGGAGCTTACAAAAAGTGGAA